CAAGGAGAGGCTATGACGTGTGATAACTGATTTTAATAAAACGTTTTTTGGTGATACTAGGCCGAAAAATATTAGACATGTGACCGAGGAGCCAGGGAAAACATTCTAAGTAATTTAATCATGGTCTTCTGCTTTCTTCGTACTTGTATTGCAAGGTATTTAAGTTACTTCAAGAAAACGCTTTTTGGGCGTGAAAAAACGAATGTCCACTTCGTTTCTTACCTAAAAAAGAAATTAGGTTACTTTGCCAAAACTCGAAAAGAAGCGACGTAACAAAGTAGATTGAAATAAAATTATCGAGAAACAAAGTTTATTGTTATTTTTCGTACACGAAAAACCAGAAAATCTCTTGCAAACAAACTTTTAGGAAAACAATTTTTTTCTAAAATTTTCTCTTTCCAAATGTTTTCGACTTTTTCTCTCGAAAATAACAGAAATTATAACTTTGAAATGACTCCATGATCTACAAGATACTCCTGTGCAGAGGTTTAGAACCAAATATACGTAAGGGCACAAACTTGGTTTCCATAAATTTTAGCATATGTACCGCCGAAGTGAATACAACGCTTCTATAAATAAATAAATTAGAGCCGGAGATGTAAAATAATAAAAAGTTCGACGTGTTTTTGTTGAATGCGATACTATTTTTCTCACATGTATTGACATAAAAAATTAACATTGTAGGCACAGTATGGCAGAAAAATTATGCTTTCCACAAATTACAATAACCGATATGTGTATTCACTAGTCATAATTATTTAAATTAATTATACTTTTATCTAAGATCTTGGTTGTGATTAAATGGTTGTAATAACGATTATATGGAGGAGATCGTGAGATGCGGTCTTGTGTGATGTAGGTTGAGAAAAACTTTTTTTTAATTGTGCCAACGTTTCGATCTTTATTTACATCATCAAAGTGTGTTTTCTGGGTACTAACGTTCTAAATAAAGATCGAAACGTTGGCACAATCAAGAAAATGTTTTTCTAAATCTACATCACTCAAGACCGTATCCCACGATATCCAAGCAATCATTAATTAACGGTCACTAAATACTACACACGATTGTAAGAATCTTGAATTTGCATAAAATCCAGCTATGAATTTTTAAGTGGAGCACTGGATAGAAGAGAAAAAAAAGCCGAAAAAAATTGTATTTTTTAAATTTGCATGCAACTTCGCATTTAATGGTTTTACATGATGCTTCGAAAGAATTATTTTATTTATTTTTTAAATTCTTTTGGGTTACTTTATTTTAAGCGTCTTTTGGTTTTGGAAACTTTTTTCATATTTAATCTCATTTTCATGTAATTCTGCACATTGGGTTCTAATTATAAATAAAAATAGAAATCTACTGATGTATAATAACTTTGAAAAAAGGTACTTAAATTAGCTTAAAAATGTGTAGGCTCATAGGGAAAAAACTCTTGGATACGTCCCTAATAATTTTCCATGCATTATTATCAATAAACGTTTCATTAAAAACGGTGATCCCATGTTCTTGTAAGTAGAATAAAAATGAGTAAAATAGTACCAATAACACTTGAGTGTTCAACGTCCAACTATCAGCTTGGGGGGTTACCAGTTGTGAAGACCTGGGCAGTTTAATCAGAATATAATTATTTTTGATCGTGTTGATTAAAGAATCTAGCCATCTTTAATTTAGGAAAGAATACAAAACCACAAGAACATAAAGATATACAAACAGATCCTCCATAACAATCTCTACCCTAAACACATAATTAACAGAACAATCAACAACTACAACTCAACACTAACACCATCCACTATTACTAACAATACTACATTAAGTCTATCAAATACAAACAAACCAGCATACATTTCCATGCCATTTATTCAAGGCCTATCACATAAATTAAACACATTTCTCTAGTCAGATAACTTCAAAATACCTTTCAAAAATTGAAATTGAACAATTCAAATACTTTTTTCTAAAATTAAAGATCCCACATCAATAACAAATAAATCTGACGTAATCTACAAGATAACTGTTTAAACTGTCCGGCAACTTACATCGGTTTTGGCCAATATGCTAGACCATAAGGCCCCCCCCCAAAAAAAAAAAAAAAAAAAAAACTTACATCGGTCTTACATCCCAATATCTGGACAAGAGAATAAAGCAACATATCTATGATTGCAAAAAACCCAAGCAAAATCCTACAGCACTCGCTACCCACCATTTTGAACACCAACACAATTTCGACTTCAAAAATCCAAAAATATTACACACAGAACAAAACAAACATAAACGTAATTTCTTAGAAATGGTTTATATCAACAGAGATAAACACATCATCAATTACAGAACAAATACAAGTAAACTCAGTCGCAGCTTCGCCAATATCATTAATCAAATTCAATATAGATAACATACATATATCATTACATAACATTCCACACATCAAATATTTTTCATAGTCTAATTGTTCAACAATTTAGCTTTCATTTTCCTATTTAACCCTTTCTATATAATCCTGAAAGGATAATCTGGCCGAACCATTACCAATACATTGTTTCCTTTCGTCGGCTCTTTTCACCTCAAAGAAGCCGACGCCTTATACAAAAATGTCTTTTCTATACTGACATCCTTCCCCTCCCCTTCAAAATCCAACATATATAAACACAAAATAGCAAAATCTCACTGGCACTCTCGACACGATACGCAAGAATGGCACAACTACACAGAAGACAAACACTTTGAGTGAGTAGAAATACTTTGATTGAATATAAAAAATATATTTTGCATTGTATAAATTCACTTTTCCACATCCTAATTGTATTTGTTAAATGTAAACAATGTTTAAATCCCAGGCCCTGATGATGATCTCAATAAAGATCGAAACGTTGGCACGATAAATAAAATGTTTTTCTGAAACCTACATCACGCCAGACCGCATCTCACGATTTCTGAATAATTATCGATTAACGGTCACTAATCACCACACATTAAAACACTACAAATTTGAGTGATATTTGATGACACCACTGAATTAAAGCTTGCTCGCCTACTCAACAAACAACTTAAAAAAATGCTCTGCGCATTTTTCTTCATATGTTGCTGAAAATTGCACAATATTGAAGTTTTTCACAAGCAATTTGAACAGGCAAGGATGTTTCAAAAAATTATTCTATTGGACTAAAAAATTAAAAATAAATAGTTGGATCGCACGTGGGTTTCTTCCATAATTGCTGTAGTTTTTAATGATGAAGCCTCGATTTAATATTTTAACGCCTTGATATTCCATGTCAATTCTACGGTTTAAACAACTTAAAATTAGCTAATCGTAACAGTAAGAACAAGCGGACCAGTTAATAGTTTTATGCTCTTACAAATGTTTTATACATTTCTACCTTTACTTTTAATGGCTCGGTTATTTCGTTGATGCACCATGTAGAAGAAACATCTGTGAAAATAAGGCATCGTCGCCCATTTGAGTAGTGAAATTTATTTTCTTAGAAGAGAGGTAAAACGGGCGGAATGATAGAACTGGGAGGAGACGGAGTAATTGTGCTTTATATCCCCTTTAACGGACCATATAGCCCAAGTTGGATCCCCGAGTTGTTATCCAGTTGTAAAAGATAATGCACGTCTAAAATGGAGGACGTCTAGCCTGTTATGTCCCGGCCGTATAAACCATCTCCAGTTAGGGTCCTTCCCTTCCTTTTTATCATCCCGACATCAACTCGGGGGAGAATATCACTCACCGAATCGAAGTAAAACGTTTCGACTCTAAATCGACTCATATTTCAACCCTTCACTCTCATTTTCCTTTAATGTGTCAACAAATGTTTTTCTGAAACCTACATCACACCAGACCGCATCTCACGATTTCTGAATAATTTTTTTCTAATTGTTTATATTTGGTAGCATTTTATAATATTACTTAATCCATTTATGTTGTAGTGGTCAATTGACCAAGTTATTTCTTTCAAATCAGCCAATTATTCTTTTTATGTAAAGTTTTGGTTGAAATGAAAAAGCGAGTGTTACGAGCGGGATCGAACCCACGACTTTCGGCTAAATACGCCGCTGCTCTACCACTTGAGCTATCGTGACTTCGATCCACTCGGACATCAATTCTCCATTTCAACCAACAACCTTTTGAATTTTCCATCTTTTTTCCATTTTTCAAATGTCGTGAAATCAGGATTCGATTCTCGGCGACATATGAAGTGGCCATCTATATTTTTATCTCTTCCAAAACCTTACATAAAAACATAATTAATTTAATGAAGTAACTTGGTCAATTGAACACCAGAACATAAATGGATTAATATTTATTAAGTAAAAGGCGTATCACTTCACTAACAGCTCCCCGTTGCCACTTCATATATCACTGTAGATTGAGATGGGTAGTTAGTGTCCGAGTCGATCGGAGTTACGATAGCTTAGGTGGTAGAGCAGCGGCATATTTAGCCGAAAGTCGTGGGTTCGAATCCCGCTCGTGACACTGACTTTTTTATCTTAACCAAAACCTTACATAAAACAAATAATTAATTGATATTAATTAATGTTCTGATGAAGGGGATATCCTCGTAAGGTTGACGAAGAAATTGACATCAACTGTTTTTCGTTAAAATTGATTAATGTAAATCTGTTTTTACATAAAATGGTCTGACGTTTCGTCCACGATAGCCCAAACTGGTGGTTGGACTTAAAAACTTTTACAACTTAAAGACTTACATTTTTTTTCGAATTTTGAGGCATTAGGTTGAACACTTTCTATAGGTTGCTTGATTTCTAGTTAAGCACTCGCGGCGTACATGTTTAGTACTATATGTGTTAGTATGTTAGTAGAACTTTAGCATAGTAAATACCCCCTGATTTCCCTCGAAAGGTTTACAAACAGTTTTATTTAACACTGCAGTCAACATTTCATCAACTCGCTCACTTAATAATTCCGACTATCCTCGTACAAAATGTCACATTTAATTAACCCTGCATTCTTTGTAAGCTAATCCAAATATTTATGTTTCAGGCCTGAATTCAGCTGAGGAGAGACATGTGAGTATAAAGAGGGAGGCAATTAAGGTGGTTAGAGGAATGTGGGCCCGTTTGTACGTGTGAGTGTGTGTGTGTGAGAGCGTGGGTAAGTGAGGGTGGTTACATTTACTCTGGTTGCGGGGGTGAGGGGGTTGTGCTGGTAATGGGGCTCCGCAAACAACCCCGCCCCCACACCTCTATAAATAAATTACTTGCTTTTCTCTTCTCTCACCTCAAAGTTTAACCCCCGGCCGCCATTTTTCTCGTCGTGGCTCTCTTAATAATGCAGGCTTTATCTCAGGCCGGCTACACGAGACCCTCTTCACTTATTCATGAACCTGTCCGCATGGGGGGCCCCTCGGTAAAAAGCCTCTCCCCGGCCTCATAATTCCGGTACACGCCCCCGGATCCCGATTTCACTTTAGCCCTGCGGTCCCTTTTAAATATTTACAGCCTTGGGCGATGCGGGCGGGATAAACGCTGCGGATTCGGGCCCATTTCAACGTGTCTCTAAGAGAGAGAGAGAAGAATGACAAACTATCCTAAAAGAGATTGAAATCTATCGCACATTTTATAATACAAGTTTCCTACTGCATTTCACCTTTTACCTTTCAGGAACAAATGTTCCCACCGTCTCAATCCGGATTCTTTCGTTTGCTTCCTGTGTTAACTATTACAGCAGCAACCTGAATTACTAGACTCGACCAAGTTCGCCTTCCTCTATGAACGAATCCAATTCCTCATCCACTATGCCATTTGTGTGTAAAGCGTTGTATTGTTTGATGTACATTGTGAAATCTGCAGAGTGATGAGCTTGTTTGATCATTTCCTCCTGGAAGTTCGTCCTGGCATTCGTTCATTCGCTGTTCGATCAGGATGATAGATGACCAGACTACAGATCAAGCTCGCAGATTTCACCAAAATATCTTACAATGTAATTTACCGTTGACCATATTGCCTTAAACGTGAAATTTGCAACGGTTTAGAAACAAAGATGCAGGAAATACAAATTATCCTGGATTCTTCGCAAACTTTTTTCTGTTGGTCTTTTCACTGAATTACGAATTTAAATCAGACATGAATTTTTTGTTATGCATTATTGCTTATTTTAATAATAGTTGTAACGTGTTGCTTCATTTTTAGAAATTTATAGCTAGTGGATAGTGGAAAACGCTTTTTATTCCCCCCCCTCTGTTTTACATAATAGGGTGTAATAGGATAAGATCAATACAAACGTCGGAAACATTAGTACTGTATAAATTATTTCTCCGATAATAACAGCGGCTCATTGCTTCGTTTAGTAAGTCGTAAATTGTCTGATGGAAGTTGATATTGAATTTTTTATCGTAGGACAACACGTGTTCAAAAATGTACAGCGATTGTTTTATGCTAATTTTATGAACGTTGTTTGGAATATTTTCCCCTTTGGCGAGCCGGAGACGTTTTACGATCCTAGAAGCCGCCAGTTTGATTTATCAGGTCTGATCGATTTTGTTCATACCGGAATCATAATGCGAAGGACGTATTTAGTGAGAGGTCTCTCGGTACAAGGGCATGCATATTGATTCAGCCCTCGGGTTATCTACACCATCCCTAAATATACAAAACTGGAGAGTCAATATTGACAGGCGATACCGGCAAATATAATTTGTTCTAGGGAAATGACAGCAGTGTTTTTATTTGCTTTGCTGTCGCGAGGGTGGGAAGGGTTCGTTTCTCTTTAATAAAACTTTGGAAACTTGTTCTTAGTCGTTTGCCAAGGGATGTTTTTCATATTTAAAGAGAACCGGTCTGAATTTTTGATCCTCCGCATGAACCCGTCAAATATTCATTTCCGTTGATTAACACTTCTCTGTCGGCTGTTTCTTTAAAGGCCAAAGTGTTTTAATTATATTTTCCGAATACGTCGGTTAGACGTGAAGTCGGAGGGTGCCGAACGAAGGCAGTTGATAAAAACGCCGTTTGTGTCCAAGCCCCCATCGTTTCCCCATTCCCCCTTTTCCTCATTACGCAGTACAAATATATCAAAAGGACTGAGGGACGGAGAGGGTGGCAGGACAGTCGTGACAATATAGAGGGGGTTGAAGACTCCTCTAACGTCCTCTGCAACCCTCATCAAACGAGCCCTCGGGGAGGCCGACGTCTCTTGTTTATGGCCTATGAAACTGTTCTCAAGAAACCCCCTCAGACGACTCCACCCTTCTAACAACTGTACAGATGTCGCCCCCTCCTCCCTTTCACCACCCTTCAAGAATATAAAAAATAGGATGCGCACCCCTCGGGGATCACCTCTATTTATACTGCACGGCCGCATTAACTTCAGCCGTACTAATAAAACCCGTATGTTATTCTGGATGAATAAATATAGCTTCCATTCATCTGAGGATTATAAAAAATAAACGAGGGAGAAGTAAAAACTTGACTACGGGCGTTTGTCGTTTACGGTTTTGTTTATTGTAAAGGGGTGTAGATACTTTATAGGCATCTTTTAAAGAACGATTTGTCTTTTTCATTTTTCATACCTCAAAACGTTTGAGCAGATATTGAAAAAGGAACTCAACAATACTGATCACCGTTCGTCCGTATTTAACAAAATCAAAGGTCCGTGCTTTGTTTAATTTGTTGACTAATAAATCAAACTTTGGTTTCGTACCTTTGGTCAGGTGTACATCTTATTTTCAATATTGATCATCTTGGATTTCTTTTAATTAGGGTGTTTATGTCTGTTTCTCTGTTTTTTTATAACTTACTATAACTTTATAAACTTCAGGTTGTTAGTCAACCTCCATAGCCTTGCCAGCGACTTCTAAGTGTAGGATCTTGCTTGTGGTTTTTCCCGTCCTAGTTGCAAAAACCAGCACCTACATGCCTTCACAGAAACATCAAATGTGTTCTGCGGTCTCCTCCTCTTCCTGGCAGTATATGCACACTGCATGTGCTTTCTTAAGTGGCAGTGCCCTTCAGGAGTCCAACCAGAATCCTGGTTCGGTTGAAGTTGCCTTCCAGTAATTCCTTTGCAAGTTTTGCGGATGGCCTTTCTTTGAATCTCTTCGCGTGTCTCATGGTATTGTTCCACTATGTTTTGGAACGAACCATTTTAATACATATCCTTGTTTGTGGCAAGATGCTAAGCCACAGTAGGTTTCAGGATCTAGAGAGTCCATGTTGGCAACCTCTTTGGCCAACATGTCAAACTTTTCGTTGCCTTTATCCCCTGATTGCCCAAGGATCCATGCCAGCGTCGACCATGCAGTTCCATACGCTCTTTGCCTTCACCTGGCACGAGCCTATGGCCTTTAGTGCTGCATGACTCAGAGAAGATGGCTACCTTAAGGGAATGTATTCCTAGCCTTTTTATTTCCCTCGCGCAATGCTCAATCGCTATGAGTTCAGACTGAAAAACACAGCATATTTACCTAGGTTTACCTTCAGGACTTCAGCCCCTGATCGAGGAGGAACATACGTTGTTTATATTGTGAGATCTTTGGTCCAATCCTCACGCATATATATTTTATATAAAAACTTTATTCTAATTTCTCCTTTTGATGAAGGCCACAGCGTAGATCGTCTAATGGGCCGAAATTAAGGAACTTGACAACTGATAAAAGGCAGTGCGATTTCCAAATGAATTAACAGTTAACTGAGGGGTGGCGTGCCGACCGCATGTGATTTGATTGAACAATTTAATTCAGGCCGAGGGGGGCCTCGAGAGGATTTATTGGTACCGTGCGGCCGAAGATAAACATTCCGAACATGACTAATGGCGAATCGATCTGGTCAATGGTCGCTTTTATGCCACAATTACTCTGATCCATATTTTACGACTTGCCGGGAGCCTCCGATAGTCTGTTTTATGAAAAAGGTAGGACAGGGGAATCGGGGTAACTTTCAAAATTTTCAATTTTTTTGAACATGAAACGTATATAGCAAAAAATGAAATAAACATAATTTTTTGGAAATCTCTAACCATATGTGGAAATATTATATTAAAACCGAAGAAAACAAATATTCATAATGAACTTTTTGGAGAAACTGTGGGACTTTGGACAATAGAAGGCATTCCAGGCAGTCTCCGCCGGTTTATAAGTATAATGGCAAAAGGATTATTTCGTTCCTATATATTCCTTATAATTAGGACGCTTTACGGGAAAATCCTTGGAAAATCCCTCTGGCGTTTTCCCAGTGATCAAAAAGTTTCCTCTTTCCAATAATTCCCGACATTTCACCTGGGGTCTAAGGGAACTTTCCCAACGATTTTACTTCTACCCTTTCAGTTCTTATTTTTTTAAAAGTTTCCCTTCCGTTTTAATAAATTGTTCCACAATCGTTGGCGATTAGTCAATTTAATTTGCAAATTATACAGGCGACCTGAAAAACTGGGAAACCCGAAAAAAGTATAATTAATTGAAATAATTAAAATTACTATTAATCCTAATTCCTAATTATCAATCCTAATTACACGACTTTTGAAAAATGGCAAAAAGAGGGATAATTCGAAAGATTGTAGGTCGAGATGAGTCCGAGTGGATCGAAGTCACGGTAGCTCGGTTAGAGCAGCGGCATATTTAGCCGAAGGTCGTGGTTTCGAATCCCGCTCGTGACACTAATTTTTTCATCTCAACCAAGCCTTTAAATAAAAAGTATAATTAATTGAAACTATTTTTCTGTTTCAAGCATTTTCTTTCATATAAAATTCAAATAATAGCAAGTAATGAAGTAATTGTTTGTTCAAAAGGGAATCAACATCTTTAGATTGGATGTGGATATGATTCGAAATAAGTTGATACTATCATTCATGTTGGCACTTTTGATGGTTTCATGGGGAGTGCGTAAATAATTGTACCCTCAGGAAAAACAGAGGATAAAACAGGAGGCCAATATGGTCAGTCATAACATCGATTTATGAAAGATCTCGTATAATTTATATGCTTCTCTGATTTTTCTCTTTGTTGTGTTAACGGCGAAATTATTGGTAGCCAGGTGCCAGGAGGCGGCACCTAATTCGGCAAATGAATTTTAAT